TCAGCTCAGTCAATCGGTCACCGGTGGACTAGCCGAATATTTCGCATTTTCTTGTATCACTCGCTGCCCCATCCATTCACTCATTCATTCCCTTACGCTTTCGTTTTTTTATCGTGCTTTTACTTTGCCGCAGAATGCGAAAATCTAATCATAGTGGTTGACTTGGGACTCGATATTTCTCTCTCTCATTCGCACACACACACTGTTTCGGGGCACGCATACCTGTTGTCCGTCTTCATCCCTCGCCCACATGTTTGTATACACAACCAGCAAATATGCAAACGATCCAGTCGAACAATCTTTATAAAAATACCTCCATGCGGTCAGACACAGTCAAATACAACTCTGAATACTTACGCGTAACTGATCAGTGTTTGTCGTTTGGTTTTTGTTTCCTGTTAATCCACTAAACATAGGAAACGGATTGAGTTTTCTCACGGAGCGGTCGGTTTTGTGGTAATCAGTTGACCATATAATATCTAGTATGTTCCCCCGACAAACGAAAAGTTCCCCTCAATCAAATCTAGTGGCTGGTCGTTCGTTCCATTACGGCCGAGACAGGGCCATGAGGGACCATTCTAACTGTCGACGTCGATTGCAACTGACCTTTCGAAAATCGCAGTACAAATGGTCTCTTCTTTGTATTACTTTTACACCTAAGAAACTGGGTATGCGATCTTCCTTAATATCAAAAGTTTCTGAATCACAAACGGCTATAACCGTTTTAAAGTGACCACAATTTACCATACAAAGACGGATGGTAGCATAAGTCCCACTTACTTCGTGGGCAATCGTGACCCTATTCCTGCCTTAAGAAAAGCTTTCGTGTCGTATCTCCTAAAGTTTCTTTTGGGAAGCCTTATTTACGGTGAGGACGTTTTCACTCAAGTGAGAGATCGAAAAGTTGGGTCTATAGCCTGGAGAATTGGCGAACCATAATTGGAAACCTCTTACGTGAAGGCTTACGAGCTGGGTTCGTGATCGCAATGGCGACCGGCGGAATTGAGCGACAGGGTCTGCCAGGCACCCTGGAGAAGTAAACTACGTTCCAGAGGCGTGGTCGGACACCAGTTCCCTGTGGTCTGTGCCCATAGCCCGTTGTCTTGTGAGTCTAGGTTTTGTGAACCTAAGCCTTCGGCTCGAAAGTAGCAAGGGTTCCACCCAGCTTATTTGGCCATACAAAGTGATTTATAACGGGCAACGATATCGGCAGCAGATTGCATGGAAAAAGGCCCCACATTGTGCTGATTGTTGTTGTTACGGGTTGGTTTGTGCCAGGTCAGGGTGACAATTTTTTTATCATTGTGCTCCATGTTGGCCGTGATGAAGATCAAAAACAACCGACAAGGCGTCGAACACAAATTACGGTTGATTGTAAAGAAGCCCTAAAATGTGCGTCATCATGAAGGTCTGTTGATGGTGGTCTCATCCGTAACTTAACTTTTGGGTGGCCTAGGCGAAGATGAAAATTACAGGTGTGTATACCATTACCAGGTCATTGTGACGGTAGTTGTTGGAATTATATATGATAGATGGAGGATTCACAAGTTGTTGCGAGACGAGTCACAGAAATGCTGAAATTTGAGCTGGTGGTAATAACAGCTCGGGAAGGGAGCTTCCTTCTTCGTACTCTATGTCATTTGGAAAAATCAATTCTGTGATATTGGGCTTTCTAAACGTAAATTTTCCACCCTACCTCCGGAAAAGTGATTCGCCTAGAATTTTCACCGGTTTCAGCTTTTGCTGCCCGGATAGCGCAACCCGATCTAAGTGGGGATATCGGATACAAAGCAATGCAACAACGTTTTTGACCAACCAGCTACATTTCTACCGGAGGACGTTACCGAAGGCTCGGTTGGCGTCTACCAACCCAAGACATCTGGCGCTGCCATGCAGGGCCCAGTTTAAACCGCAGCAGTTCGGGCAGTGCTGTAGTATTTTTTATTAAATGTAAGTGAATACCATAAAAGGGGTAAACCCTAAAATCCATGGATGTTGAGAGTGACATTCGAACTAGAATCCGCGTGTAAAGGCAGGGAAGTTACAAGCTGGAGGGAAGACTGAAAGGGGAAGTGTTCCACAGTTGTTCTGTTCTTGGAAAAAAGATGATTGAATGTCAGAAATGAGACACCTGGGGATAGTCAATTGAAATGGCTGGCTAGCCGCTTGTGTGCGGGATCTACGAGGAGGAACAAGCGGGAGAGGGAAAGAAACGGTGAGTTTACTAGAGCAAATCGATAGAATAAGGATAAAGAAGTGACTGCCCGACGGTGATTTAGTGACTGCAATTTACATGCTAGGGACGGGTCGTCGATGAGAAGAATGGCATTTTGTTGAACCTGATCAAGAAGAGTAGGAGAAGTCGACGAAGCTCCACCCCACGCATGAATGCAGTATTCAGGTG